ATACCCAAAAATCTTGAAAACTAGTATGGGGACGATTTTTCGAGTAATTCTAACTATTTTTGAGCATTTTGGGGGGTATTTTCATTTTTCGTCCAAAATCCGCCTGTAGGAGGACATGCCCGACCTACGAGTAGGTACTTTTGGACTCCCAGGTTCCAATCTGCTGTAGGCGCCTTCGTACTTGAATGGGCGGGCTGCGAAACCCAATCTATTTTCAACGCCTCCCTACGTCATGCTTCTACCGAAGTGCGTCTGCCCACCGATGGGTACTCGTGGCCGAGGCTCGCCATGGCCATGGGGGGCCCCTTCACTCCGTGCGGTGGGGGCGCTTGTTAAGGAATGTGCCCAGGAGGCTGCAGGCCCTGGAGGATTCCTTAATTATCTGAGGAGGCAGGCTGTGATACTCCAGATTTCGTAATAAAAGGGAGGGGGTCTGGACCCTCCAAGACAAGCCATTTCAGACTCCCCCTCGTTGGAGAACCCTCCAAAACATCGTCCCCAGACCCCCCCAGGCCCTCCAAGATAGCCTGGAAGAGACCCCCCCTTTATTACGAAATCTGGAGTATCCATGGCCGATCCACGATTCGAGTTCCACAGGCTTCCAGACCCTGGATTCCTTATCGACGGGTTCCTTGTTCAAGGCCCCCGCCGTACCCAGCGTTCCCTACGACAGCGCGAGGACTGCAGCTGCCACGCGTTTCAGGCTTCAGGATCACTCGTGGCGAGGCAGTCTCGGGGCCCGCCCTACCCACACGCCTGGGGTGTGGCAGGGGTCAGCTCTCTCTCTCTCTCTCTCTCTCTCTCCCCTTCTCACCACGGAAGGGAGTGCAAGAAGAGGAGCCTGAGCGTGGCCCTCTCCTCTTCCTCCTCCTCCTTCTCCTCCTCCTCGTCCTCCTCCTCCTCCACCTCCACCTCCTCCTCCTCCTCCTCGTCCTCGTCCTCCTCCTTCTCTTCGTCGTCGTCGTCCTCCTCCTCCTCTTCGTCCTCCTCCTCCTCCTCCTCCTCCTCCTCCTCTCGTCCTCCTCCTCCTCCTCCTCCTCCTCCTCCTCCTCCTCCTCCTCCTCCTCCTCCTCCTCCCCCTCCTCTTCTCTGCGCCCGCGCGCTCCTTCTCCCAGCTGCTGCTCTCACGCTGTCATGATCCCGTGCGGCCGCCGACCAGGCAACAATGTAGGAAGAAGAGGACGAGGCGGAGGATGAGGGCAAGGGGTAGATGTAGCGAGAGGGGAGGACACGCTCGTGCAATCGAGGGGAGGAGGCGGAGGATGAGGAGGAGCGGAGCGGAGGGGAGCAGGATGAGGAGGAGGACCTTCCCATCTGCTCCTCCCTTCCTCTTCCCCCCTCTGTGCCGGTCCTACTCCACACTCCCCCCTTCCATTCTCCTTTCCTTGCTCCTTCCTTGTTCCTTCCTTACTCATTCCTTACTCCTTCCTTACTCCTCTCCTCCCCTCCCCTCCCTTCCTAACTGCTCCATCATTCCTCCCCCCCCCTCCCTGACTCCTCCCTCCCCTCCCCTCCCCCCGTGCCCCGCGCCTGCTCCCCAGCGCTCCAGCCTCCAGTGACAGTGTTGCCGCCCGTTCCTCCTCTTTCTCCTCCCCTCATCCTCTCCCTCCTCTTCCTCTTCTCCTCTCCAGCTCTCCTCCTCCCCTCCTCTCCTCCTTCTCCTCCTCCTCTTCCTCCTCCTCCTCCTCCTCTTCCTCCTCCCCTCCCTTCCTCTTGCTCTTCCTCACCCCTCCTCCATCCTCAGCCCCAACCCCCTCCCCTTCCCCCTCCCCCAGGCAGGGTCCAGCAGAGATGCAGCTTGTCACAGGATTCTGCAATCCTTGTGTGTTCATTTCAGTTGGATTGCTTGCGCCGTCGGTAGTTCCATTCCGAGCCCCTCCCCTCCCCCTCTCCTCACTACCCACTCCCCTCCTTTTCGCAGGCACTGGCAGGAACCTGTGTTTTGGGCGCGGTGGTCTTCCCCTCGGGGCCGCCGTAGTCTGTGAGGTGACTGGCCCCTTCTGGCTTCCTCGGTGATTGTGGTCGGGTGGCCAGGCTGGCACTGGGAACTACGCGTTCGCCACAGCGCCTTGGCGCCCTCCCCCCACTCGCTCCTGTCGACGAGCGACGCTCGACCCATGCCCCTGGTGCCGCCCCTCGCTCTGGGCGCCAGGGGTAGCAGGGCGGAGGAGGAGGAGGAGGAGGAGGAGGAGGAGGAGGAGGAGGAGGAGAAGCGTGGCCTCGGAGGCCAAGGACGTGTCCACGTCCCTGCTCTGGCTCCTCGTGGGGACCGCGCGCGAGCAGGGGCATATCGGCAGCACGCCGATCGCCTGTCCTGCCCAGCTCCTCTCATCCGGCGCCTCCCCTCGCCTCGTTCCCCCATGCTGTGCTCTGCCGTGCTCTTCTGCGTCATGCTTTGGCATCCTTCGCGTACCCTCTCTTGGCGTCATGGCCCTGCTCGACATACGACTGTGGCGAACAGATGGGATATCTGCGCCACGGTAAGGGATGGGAGGGAATGGCAGGACGTCAGCTGTGACGTTCGCGCACCTAGCTTGCCTTCCCCCCCTGTCCCTCCTCCCCCTCTCCTCCTCCTCCTCCTCTCTCCTCCTCCTCCTCCTCCTCCTCCTCCTCCTCCTCCTCCTCCTCCCCTCTCCTCGTTCCCCCTCCTCCTCTTCCTCCTCCTCCTCCTCGTCCCCCCCTCGCTCCCCCCACCTGTCCCCGGGTCCCTCCCCGCCGCCCGCGCGCCCGCCCTGCGGCGGCCTCTCGCCAGTGGCCGCTCGCCCTCGAGATCCTCGGCGCGGCGCGGCGGTGGCGCTTCCCGCTGGGCCCACCCCACCCGCGCGAGGGAGGAGGTAGAGGTGGGAGGTACAGGGAGGAGGAGAAGGAGGAGGAGGAGGAGGAGGAGGAGGAGGAGGAGGAGGAGGAGGGAGGAGGGAGGAAGGAGGAGGGGGGAGGGGGAGGGGGGGGGGAGGGGGAGGGGACAAGCTAGGTGCGCTCGCGTCATATCTGACATCCTACCCCTCCCTCGCATCCCTTACCATGGCGCAGATCCCCTTTCTACTCGCACAGTCGGATGTCGAGCAGGGCAATGATCCCGAAAGGGTACGCGATGCATTGTAGAGCACGGCATGGCATGGCGTAGAAGAGCACCGCAAAGCGTAGTATCAACCTAGCATTGCATTGCATGCCGTGGCATGGCACGGGAAATGACGCCAGCGCTGCAGCGGGAGCACGAGTCGAAACGAGCGGAAGCGCGGAAATGAGGCCAGCGCTGCAGCGGGAGCACGATTCGGAACGAGCGGAAGCACGGAAATGAGGCCAGCGCTGCAGCGGGAGCACGACTCGGAACGAGCGGGGCCCGAAAATGAGGCCGGCGCCTCAGCGAGAGCAGCATTTTGAAAAAAAATGCAGGCGAAAACCCAACTCCGGGGAACCCTGTGTGTAAAAAACAGTACGCGGGGGGGGGGGTCGGACACTCCCAGGCCGTCATCAGGGGAAGAGGGAGAGTAGTATTCATATTGAGTAATTGTGGAGGGGGAGGGGGAGGGGGAGGGGGAGGAGGAGGAGGAGGGGCGACCCGGCGAGGCACAAATTGTCAAACACCCATAGGTTGTACCATATTTTTGAAAGTTCCCAGTTTGCGCGCGCAGCTGGACCGCAAAGGCGTTCTGTGGAGGCCAAGCTGGCTGTGGAGGGCCCCAGGAGCTGGCTGTGGAGGCCAAGCACGGGCCTCAACGGCGCCGAAATGGAGCCGAGATGCGGCCCGAAAGTGTCGCCAGAAGGATTTGAAAGTCGAGCTCGTTTTGGAAGCCGTCTTGAACCCGTCTTGCGGCTCGAAAAGTGTCGATGCCGCAGCCAGGCGGCTGAGTCGCGTAGGCCTCCGGGGCGGAAACATGTAGGGGCCTAAAGCCTTGTAAGGAGCTCTCACGATTGAATCCCACGTGCCCCTCAGCCCTGTGGGCGAGCGGATTCAAGTGGCTCAGTTTCGTCATTCCGCCGACCCCCCGGGTAGGGCCTCTTGGAGGGCTCTTGGGGGCATACCGGGGGGGGCTTTTCAAGGCTTCTTGAGGGCCCCTTGGGGGCTTTTTGGGAGCCTCGTGGGGACCTTGGGGGCGCCTCGGGGGCCTCTGGGCGTCGATTGGAGCCATCTTGGGGGGAAAGGCTCGGCATGACAACTCGTACCCCCCCTTCGGGGCCCACCTTAGGGTCCTCTTGGTGCTCTTTTGGGCCGTCTAGGGAGCCCTCGGGGCCGTCTTGTGGCCCTTCTGGGCCGTATTAGGGCCCCCTTCAGGGCCTCGTGGGGACTTGGTGGGCCGTCTTGGCCCGATCTTCTGGGTCCCTTGGGCCGTCATTAATCCTATCAAGGCAGAACATGCGTGCATGCAGAACGTGCGCGTTTTTCTAGGGTGATGCCTCTTGGGGCCTTCTCTGCGGTCCTCTTGGAGCTCTCTTGGGACGTCTTGGAGATTTGTTGGCCTGCCTTGCGACTGTTTAGGGTTGTTTTGAGGCCTTTCCGGCGTGCAGGAGCCCAGCTTGCGCAAGTTTGGATGGAAGTTTGGGCATTTTTGGAAGCAACGGCTCTAGATTTGGAGGCTCTGCAAGCTTTCAGGGTCATTTGTAAGCTCGTCCCTCGCTCCCCTCAAACGCGATGTTGTACCATAGTGGGTGGGAAAAGCTGGAGGGGGACAGCCAAACGTCTCACACGCTTGTTGATCCCCTGACAAACGGGGCTCGGCAGATGCTGTATTCGCTGACAGTTGTGAAGGATCTGCCAGTGTTGAATGGCGCAGCAGTGTGCAGAGGGAGGAGGGAGGAGGGATGCAGAGGAGGAGGTGGAGGAGGAGGAGGAGGAGGAGGAGGAGGAAGGAGAAGGAGGAGGAGGAGGCGGAGAATGAGGAGGAGGAGGATGATGATGATGAGGAGGGAGGGTGGATGGGGAGGAGGAGGAGGAGGAGGAGAGAGAGGAGGAGGAGGAGGAGGAGGAGGAGGAGCGGTCGGCCAGGACTGGGGCGGTGAATAGCCGACTCGGTTCCAAGCGTGCCCCCGCACCGCGCAGCTCGAAGCCGGCGGCACGCAGAACGGGGGGCTGTGGTCTCTTCCTCGTCCTCCTCCTCCTTCTCCTCCTCCTCCTCCTTCTCCTCCTCCACCCTCCTCCTTCTCCTCCTCCTCGTCCTCCTTCTCCTTCCTCCTCCTTGCGGAAGGGGCAGTGGCTCGACGATTCGAGTCAGGTTGCGAAAGGACCGAGGCGAGCTGCGCGTGATCGACTTGTGGCATGTTTGAAGGAGACGCGCATTTTGATGCAGAGCGAGGGCTTCAAGATCTCTCCCAAGAGCGTGGTGGTCTGCACCAAGCTCGCGGATGCCAAGGAGATCGTGAGGCGCCTCAAAGCGCTCGGTTTCTCGGTGACAGCGGCGGCGCAGACTCCGTATCTTGGCGTTGATGTCGGCGGTGGGCGACGACACGTTCGTGCGACCAGGACGGCAAGAGCAGCTCGTCACCAGAGAATGCACAGTAAGGTCGTGAAGTACGCGCGCACGGCGCGTAGGTACAGGCTGACGGCACGACTGGAGCAGCAGGGTGCAGCAGCCGCGGGGACACATGCCCATCGGGTTCATGGAGTTTTCGGCCACAGAATCAGGCAGATGAGGACGTTCCTGTGCGATGCATCTAGCCCTCGGCTCACAGGGCGGTGCGTTACGACGCTGCTGGACTTGCGTGCTCCAGGGCGCGATCCAGCATATCGGATGCCACGGGAGTGCCTGCAGATGTGGGTTCGGACATGGTTCACGCAGCCTGCGATGCGTAGCGGCATCGAGCGAGTTTGGAGGCAGCTTGCCCAAGAGTTTCGCTCCATGAGTCCGCAGCGGCACAGCCGCCACATACGAGGGCCGCAGGCTGCAGTGATTGCCCACCTTCTGCGGGAGGTCTGGGAACCAGGGAGACCAGTCGACTGGCGTGTTCAGAGCGACGGGTCGGAGATCCAGCACAGCTGGCACTTCAATCCAGAGGTTCTCACAGGATTGAAGAAGGTTGATGTGCCAAAGGCTTTCTTACAGGAGTACGAGGGCGCCGTCATGCAGAGGTTGTGGCGTCAGGCCGCAACTCATTTTGATGGCGCTGGCATGGAGGGAGGGAGTGGCGACAGTGCTGGTTTGGCGCTCGCGTAAACCAGGACTCCATGACGAACTTCAGGTTTGCAGATGACGTGTTGTCACTTGAAACAACGTGGGCGCATATGAGGCGAATGCTTGAGGATTTGCAAAGACGTGGAGGAGCAGTTCGCCTGAACTTGCATATGGGTAAGATTTAGACTATGTCGAATGTGGAGTGTCGCAATGGTGTCCTTCGTCAACCTAGCGTTCCTGGTGGTGGTCGCTTTGTCGGTGTGTTACCATTTGATGGCGATACGGTGTATCTTGGGAAGGTGATTTCTTTTCTTTCCCGACAGGGAGATCGGGCGTAAGATCTCCAGCAGTAGTGCCGCGTTCGGCATGTACAAGACTGAGCTGACGAACCCCCGTTATCCGTTGAGTTACGTATCGCGTTTGTTCAATGCTGTTTTTTGTGATGTAGATATACACAAAACATAACGGCAGTGGGCGCTTGACAACGATCGCTGGAACAGCGCACGCGTTGACAGTGCAGGAGCGTAGCATGATGCGCGCAATTCTGTTTACACCGTGGATGTACTACGAGCTGGCAGACGGGAGCGTTGACGCCGAGCGTTGAGTGGATTGGATCTAACGTGACCCCCATAGGGCCGAGCATGACTCCCATAAGTTTGGCGTTCCTGGTCTGGTAGAACAGCATCAGATCCGGAAGGACAGGTCGTGGACAAGATCGACGAGTGCTGCGACAGGCGTTGGTCGAAGAGAGTGGGTGATTGGAACCTTGAGGGAGTCCGTCTGACCGGGCGCTCCTGCAAATGAGTTCCTCTCTGCGAGGCGAGCGAGCCCGACGCCTTCGCAGGCACGGCCCCCCCCCCCCCTCGGAGCGACTCCTGCTTCCAGCCCTGCCTGGCGAGTGCGTGGTGCTTCCTGCCTCACCACTGCTCGCTGCGTGCGGCAGTGCGGGCGCGGAGCTCAAAACGCGCATCACTGCGATTCCAGTTCTCGTTCTCCGACCCCCGCTTCGGAGGGCACCAACTATACACCAACACCGATCCTGGCCCAGGAACACCCTGGGCCCAGGATCGGTGTATATGCCTTCTTGCCCAAGGCAGGAGGGCGTATACACCGATCCTGGGCCCAGGGTGATCCTGGCCAGGATCGGTGTTGGTGTATAGTTGGTGCCTTCCTACCGCTCCCGGGGCGGGCTCGCTTTCCAGTATTGCGCCGGATGAGCGGCCAGCGGGCTTCTTGGTTCGCAACTTCTGTGCGGAGGCTTGATGCGCTCGGGCGGTCTCCACAGCGGAGCGCGCGCGCCTCCAGCGTTCGTCTCGTCTCCCGTCCTCTCGTCTCGTCTCGTCTCGTCTCCTCCTCTGCCTCCTCTTCCTCCTTCTCCTCCTGTTCCTCCTTCCCTCGGGGGTGGGCAGAACCCCCAACAGTGACACGTCGATTAGTGAATTGTCTGTTTTCGGTTCTCGAGGTGGCGCCGTAGCCGTGATTTTCCAGGCTTGCGCCCGCCAGGTTTGGGCCCGAAGTCGTTTTCACTAAACCACGTTTTACTAAAGGTGGGTCTGTCCATCCCCGATTCCCCTTCCTCTCCCGGGATGGGGAAGTTGGTTCTCTTTCTTGTTGGCCCCTCTGCTTTGGGCTTGGGACCCCCTCCTGTGCGGTCCTGTGCACGGCCTGAACGCTTGCAGCCCAGCAGGGCCGTTACGGTGGCGGCTTCGCGAGGGGTATCCAGCATGGGAGGCTTGGTTCAAAACGGCGCATTGTGTTGGGTTTGTTTGTGTCCACTTCCTCTCCTCCCCCCCGTCCTCCTCCTCCTCGTCCTCCTCCTCCTCCTCCTCCTCCTCCTCCTCTCACTCCTTGTCCTCTTGTTTTCTCATCTCGCCCTGCCCCTCTCCTGCTCCTCATCTTGTTTCTTTGCCTCCTCTACTCCCTCCTCCTCCTCCTCCTCCTCCTCCTCCTCCTCCTCCTCCCTCCTCCTCCTCCTCCTCCTCCTCCTCCTCCTCCTCCCTCCCCCTCCCCCTCCTCCTCCTCCTCCTCCTCCTCCTCCTCCTCCTCCTCCTCCTCCCTCCTCCTCCTCCTCCTCCTCTTCCTCCTCCTCATCCGCCTTTCCCCTCCTTCTCCTTGCCTCCTCCTGCCCCCCTCCTGCCCCTCATCCCCTCCGCCCCCTCCCGGGGGGCACTCGTGGCCGCGGCTGGGCGCGGCCCGACGAGCGCGCCAGGACGGCGTTGCCTTTTTCGCCCTGGCCCTGGCCAGAACCTGCTCGCTGATCGAAACTTAGACCTTCATCGTATGGGAACAAGTCGCCACGGAGGTTTTTGTCGCAGTCTGCTGCGCCCGGGGGCCCTCGCTGGGCCCTGCGACCCCCAGGACACGACCCAGGACGAAAGACTGGTCCCCGGGAAGCGGTCTTTAGAGTCTGGCGACGACGACGACGGGAGTTCTGGGGATCCGGTAGCTTGGCATCGCTCGGACGTCTGCATTTTCTTTTCGGCGACGGCCATCGAGGACCATCCTTGATCATTCGGCGAAAAAAACACGCACGAAATCGAAAAATACACGAGGAATGGACGTCCGAGCGATGGCGAGGTAGTGCAACATGATCAAGACCTCGGAGCTCGGGGAGCCCCTTCCCCGTCCCCTGTCGAACTCTTCGCCCGGCCGGGCCCGGGCGGTGTCGGCAACAGGCGCCGCCGTCCCCGTGCCACTTCCACGGGGTGTGTCGTGCGCGCTCTGGGATCGGGCGAAGAGAACTATGCACATGCACTGATCCTGGCAAGGCCCATCCTGGACCCAGGATCGGTGCATATGCCTTCCTGGCCAAGGTAGGAGGGCGTATGCACCGATCCTGGGCTCAGGATGGGCCTGGCCAGAATCGGTGTATGTGCATAGTTCTTTCTCCTCTATGGGAGGCACGGTCCCAGCCCCGCGCGGGGTTCACATCATGGCGTGGCCGCTGTGGCGCCCGCTCCCCGCTCGCTCCTCTTGCCGGGGCGCCGACCTGGCGCACTCGCTCCTCCACCGTGGCCCCTCGCTCTCCATATGCTCCGCCCGCCTTCTCGCCCCGGCTCTCCCTGCGCCTGGCTCCCGTCTCCTCCCTCCCTCCCTCCCTCCCTCCTCCCTCCTCCCTCCCTCCTCCCCTCTCTTCCTCCCCTCCCTCCCTCCTCCCGAAGAGGCCCACGATTCGGATGTCGAGGTGGCCTCGGAGGCCTCTAGTGACGGGCGCTGGGCGCCCGAACGCACTGGCTTCAGGCCGCTCGCTCATCTCATCTCATCTCACCTCCCTCCCCCCTCCCTCCTCCCCCCCTCCCTCCTCCCTTCTCGTCCACCTCCCGTCCTCGTCCTCGTCGTCGCGGCGTGAAGACGGCGCGCTCCCCCTCCTGCGCGTCGCCGACCGAGCGTCCCCCCTCCGCCGGCGCCGCCTCTGGCGCCGCGCACCCCGGGGGCAGCCGCGATGACGGGCACGCTCGCCCGGCAGACCTCGACGGACTCGGAGCGGAGGACCCGGGAGGAGATGCGGAGGAAGATGCAGGCGGCGACGCTCGTCTGGGCCTCCCAGATGGGATCGGAGGAGGATGGGGTCGGAGGGTCGCGCCGCATCGCCGATGCAGCGCCGATGCGGTTCGATGTGGGGCCCGACTTGCTTCACGTCGACGTCGCCGATGCATCGCCGACGTCGACGACGCATCGCCGGTACGTCGCCGACACATCGCCGATGCAGCTCCGATGTACGGCGATGCGGCGCGATCCTCCGACCCCACCTATCCGGACCCCATGTAGGAGGCCTCTGGTTCGTCCTCGTCATCGTCGTCGCCGTCGGGGTGTGTTGACTGGCCAGTTGGGCGGCGCGCCCCCGGGTCGGAAGCGAGGGGGGGCGGGGGCTGCTCGGGAGGTGTCGGAGCGTGAATTACCTACCCCGCTTTCGCTTCCAGGCAAAACCAAGCCATCCCACGCGCCTCCTCGTCAAGCGGCCTGACCAGTACAGGCCGCAATTTGGCATCGTTTGGTATCTCTTGGAAGCGAGGGTGGTCAAAAGCGAGGTAGGTTTGTTTTCCCTCTAAGGTGGCGGGGCTTCGGCAAGGGAGCAGCAGCCTTCTCTCGAGAGGCCAGGGGCCGTCGGTGCGCCCGGAGAGGGCATCCGCCCCGGTCGGTCTGCCCTCCTCCGCGCCGCCGAGCAGTGATTCCACCTCTGGAATGAGGTCGGGCGCGTCCCTCTGCAGACAAATGCAACAAGGAGGTTGCATTTGAGTCGCGAATTATTCCTCATCTGTAGTGCCACCCGTGTGCTGCTGTTCCCTGCTTTGAACGGGGGTCCAAGGGCATGGAGTGCCCGGCATGGTGCAACAAGGAGGTTGCATTTGAGGCGCGTTCTATTCATATGTAGTGCCACCCGTGTTCTGTTGCACCCTGCTTTGAAAAAAAAGAGTTAATATGTCAAAACATGCTGGACGATTTTTGTCATAAAGCATGATGTGCGCCCCAAATCCGCCCGTATGAGGACATGCCCGACCTACCCCTCGAGTGGCGTTCGGGGTGTTGTCAGCCAGTTGTTCTTGCGCACGGCATGTGCCCGGCCATCGAGCATCTACGCTGCGATCTCGGGGTGTCGCAGCGTGCCTGTGCCAAAGCGGCCGCCTAAGATGCGGTGCTTCCGACTGCCAAGTTCATTCGGCCGATCGTATCTACCGAAGCTGATATGTATCATTATCACCGTGATCATTGTTATCGTCATCATTATCATCATCATCAGCATCATCATCATCGTTATCATCATTGTCATCATCATCAGCAGCATCATCATCAGCAGCATCATCATCATCAGCATCATTACCATCATCAGCATCATCGTCATGATCATGATCATATTCATGGTCATGATCGTGATCATGTATGAACATGAGCTTCCAGATTTTCGCGCTGATCTCTTGGGTCCGCCTTGGATCCACCTGGCGACGCCTCCCGCGCTGTCCCTGGCGCACTACGCGGACCCGGGCGAGGTGTCGGCGCCGATCCAAGACATCCGCGCGGACCTCCGAATTCATGTTAATGCAGCTCCTTCTTCTAGTCGCAACGGTCGTCATTGCCGACGTCGCCAGGTGATGATCTGTCAGCTGCTTGATTTCTTTGCTCTCACGCCGTCTTTTTTTTATCAGGGGTGTAGTGATGGCCGCCGTGGCAATCCTTGATTCGATTGATCTTGAACGTGCTAGACGCGATGCACGCGCGCAAGTAAGCCAGCGAGAGCAACGTCGGAAGGAGGGTGTCGACTGCGCGGACCTTCGCTGGTGAGCGGCCCGCGGAAGCTGTCGTCTTCTCCACGCGGCGTGCTGCGATGGCGGCCTGCGCAGTCCACCGGGTGATGTCGCCCTGTCCCAGTGCGCAATCGCAGGCCATTTCTCTCCCCCAATCCCCGACTTCCGCCAGAAAAGTTTGGTCGCTCAGAAAAGGGGAGGAATCTTGGGATACATCCCGAGGGGGCTATTCGGACGCACCCCTGTCGAGGATGGACGCCCCCCCCCTCGTATATCCCAGGGTTGGGCCCCAAATTGTTGATCCTCTCGAAAACCTCACGGAGCCTGGGATAGGGGTCGACGCATCCCCTGTTACGCAAGACTCGCTTCTCCGTCACCCAGGTGGCGACGGTCGACATGAGTGCCAAGGGCGCGAAGGACGACTTCAACCGCTCGCTGCAGGAGACAGGCTTCGCGGTGCTCGTCAACCACGGCGTGGACCGCAAACAGATCGAAGGCGTCTACGACGAGTGGCGCAGCTTCATGATGTCGTTGGACGAGAAGGTGAAGGCGGAGGGCGGCCACAATTGCATCAGTGAGTACATCCGCTCTACCGACGTCTTCGACGGATACTTCCCGATGGACCTGGCGGAGACAGCTAAGAGTGCTGACGTTAAGGACATCAAGCACTACTACCACCTGTACTTCCCCCACGGCCGGTACCCGAAGGAGGCGCTGGTGGCTGATGACGATGATGGACGGACGGACGGACGGATGGACGGACGGACGCCGAGGAGGATGATGATGATAGTGACGATGATGAGGACGAGGATTTGGATGTGGATGATTGTGAGGTTGCGGTTAATGATGGTGGTCACGATGATTCCGATGATGATGATTATGATGATGATGATGATGATGATGATGATGATGATGATCATGATGATGATGATGATGATGATGATGATGATGATGATGATGATTGGTGATGATGACGATGATGATGATAATGATTACGATGACGATGACGATGACGATGATGATGACGATGTTTTTTTGATTCTGGCGTGTGATGATAGTGATGATGATGACGACGATATTTACGATGATGCTGATGAGTGCTGAAGGCGATGGTGGTACAGCTGCCAATAACAATCATGGTCATCGTGATGCTGATGATGATGATGATGATGATGATGATGATGGTGGTAACGATGACAATAACGATGACGATGGTGATGGCGATGATGATGCTGATGATGATGCTGATGATAGTGATGGTGGTGATGATGATGGCTGTGCTGGTGGTGGCCGTGTTGATGATGCTGATGATGAATATGATGATCAGATGTTGATGATGAGTCTGATTATGGTGGTGGTGGGGATGGTGATGACACTGATGATGAGGATGATGATGACGATGACGATGATGGGCGCCTCGCCGCGTAAGTATGCATGCGTGCCCACATGCAGGTGTGTCTGTATGAAAGTATGTATACATGTATGCAGGTATGTATGCATGTATGCATGTATAGGTGTGTGCATGTATGTATGCATCCATGCATGCATGCATGCACATAGGTATGTATGTAGGTATGTGCGTACGTGTGTGTGTGTATGTTCGTATGTATGTGTGCATGTATGCGTGCATGCATGTACGTGTGTATGTACGTGCGTGCAGCCGTACGTATGTATGTATGTATGTGTGCATGTAGTGTATGAACGCGTGTACGTACGTGTATGCATGTATGCATGCATGCATGTATACATGTACGTATGGCTGTGTGCATGAATGTATGTACACCGCACTCACATCTATACCCCTGGGTGGGTGTATGTGCGGCCGTTTTTGCGCTGTCATGTGCGCGCATGTGCGCGGCATGTGCCAGTCATGTGCCAGGCCTGTGCGGTCCTTCTTGGATGGACTTCCTACTGTGCACGTCGTGCCCGGGCATGTGCGGGGGCATGTGCGCTGTGTTTTGATGTATCCATCATACGCACATGCACGCACAGTCCGACGCACATGCGCGCACATGCCTGCACATGCGGGAGGTGTTCGAGAATCGCAGATCTGTCATCGGCACATGCACGCACATGCCTGTGCAACCTCTCTTCGGGAGGCCGCGCGGGCCCGCACATGCACGCACATGCGGTGAAGCGCACGGGCGCACATGCGTGCACATCCCAATGCACATGCACGCTCATGCCCTACGAGCTGTCTGGGACCCCTGTGCCTCCAATGCCTCCTGGCCTTCGCAGAGCTAACCTGGGGCGTGCCAGGGTTTCCTGAAAGAGTTTGTTGTGCGTTTAGACTCGCCCGCTGCTGGCGGGGGCGGTTATTCGCCCGGTTCGTGAGCTGGCGGTGGCGCGCCCGCCTAATAAAATACTCTCCCGCGCGCCTTCTCAGCTCGGCCGGAGAAGCAGGGATGGGGGGGGGGAGGTGGAGGGGGGGGGAGGAGGGGGGGGCGGAGGAGGCGGGCGCCCCCGGCCACTGGCCAGCCTGCCTGTTCGGCTCGGCCAGAGGAGAAGGAGGAGGAGGAGGAGGAGGAGGAGGAGGAGGAGGAGGTGAGAGTTGCGAGGCTGTCTCAGGCGAAAGTGGCTTGACGGCCCGAGCTCAGGGAATCTCGGAATCGCTGGCCTGGCTCGGCCACCGGCGAGCTCGGCCTGTGCGAATACTGTGCGTACCTGTGCAGTGCATGTGCGGGACGTGCAAGAATGCCGGGGCCGGCGTTCGTCTCCGGACGCCGGCGCGTTCGCGTCCGGCCAGTTCCGCGTGAGACGTCGTCGGCAATTTGGAGGCCGACGTGCTTTGACATGAAGTGATCTGGCCACCTTCGCCTGAGACATCCTCGCAACTCTGGTCTCGGAGATGCCCTGCCCCATGGTGGCCCGGCCACTTTCGCTTGAGACATCCTCGGGACTCTGGGTTTCGAGACGCCCTGAGCTGAGGTGGTTAGACCACTTTCGCATGAGACATCCTCGCAACTCTGACCTCAGAGATCTCCTGCCCCATGCTGGTCAGGCCACGGTCGCCTGAGACATCCTCGCAAGTCTCGATTCCGATATGCCCCGAGCTGAGGTGGTCAGCCACTGTCGCCTGAGACATCCTCGCAACCCTGATCTCAATGATGCCCTGCTCGATAGTGTCTCGGCCCCTTTCGCCTGAGACATCCTCGGACCTCTGGGTTCCGAGACGCCCTGAGTTGAGGTGGTCAGGCCAGTCCTGCCTGAGACATCCTCGCAACTCTGGGCTCCGAGATGCCCTGGGCTGAGGTGGTCAGACCACTCTCCCCAGAGACATCCTCGCAACTCTGACCTCAGAGATCTCCTGCCCCATGGTGGTCAGGCCACTTTCGCTTGAGACATCCTCACAACTCAGACCTCGGAGGTGTCCTGCCCCATGGTCGTCTGGTCACCTTGACCAGCGACATCCTCGCCACTCTGGTTTCCAAGATGCCCTGCCCCATGGTGATCCGGCCACGCTTGCCTGAGACATCCTCGGAACTCTGGGTTGCGAAATGCCCCGAGCTCAGGTGGTCAGGCCACTATCGCCTGCGACATCTCTGCGGCATGTGCGGGCATGTGCGTCTATGCTTTCAGAGTTTTGCTTGACCGTGCATTCGACTGTGCGTCGGACGGTGTGGCATGTGCGCGCATGTGCGGCAATGCTGTTGAGGCTTTTGTATGCATGGGCATGTGCATGCGACTGTGCGGCATGTGCCTGCATGTGCGGCCCCTTCCGGACCACAATTTCAAAGTGAGCACTATAGAAGTGAGCGCTATAGAAGTGAGTCCGGTGTAGGTATGCAGGTATGTAGGCATGCATGCACTCCTCCTCCTCCTCCTTTTCCCCCGTCTTCCCCAGGGCCCTAGGGAACCCCTTCACCTCCCCTTTTCCCCGCCCTCCCTCCAGCTACGTCCAGCCGCGGCGGAGAGAAGGGCACCCAAAGTGCCACTTAGGCCGCCGTGGGTGGACCGTGGAAGTCTTGGAAGCCACTTGGGCAGTCCCCGTGGTTCTTGGAAACCCCAGAGAAGAAGTATGGTTTATAGAGGTTCCCGAGAGTCCAGCCATCCAGCTTAGACAGAATTTGACTGCGTGCGAAGCGCGCGATGGATCTTCTGTGTATATATATACGTGTATGTATCACAGGTCTGGGGTCCCGGGGCCCCCAAAGTGTACTGATCTGTTTTCCAAGAGGGCTTCAAGACGGCCGAGATGCCCTCAAAGGAATTCCCAAGAGGCACTCGGGAGGCGAAACTAGTAGTTTTTGTTTCAAGGGGTTTTGAAGGTTTTTCGTGTTCTCGCTGTTTCGTGCTTCCGACGGTCCAAAACAGCCCACGAGGCCTCAGAAATCATTTCGAAACGGCCCAAGAGGCACCCAAATAGGGCGCCACGACGGTGCAAGCGAGTCCCGAGACGGCCCAAGAGTGCCCCAAGACTGTCCAAGAGGCGCCCAAGATCGCCCAAGAGGGCCTACAAGAGGGCCCCAAGAAGGGGAACACGAACCGACAATTCGAGCCTTCTGACCTAAGAGGCCTCCAGGAGGCCCCCTAGAGGCCCCACGAGGCCTCAAAGGGGCCCAAAACGACGCCCCACGAGCACCCTAGACGGCCCCCAAGAGGCCTCCAAAACTGTCTCCAAGAGGCCCCCGGGAAGCCTCCCACGAATTCCAAACGAACTTCCAAGAGCCTCTAACCCACAACCGTGAACCCAAGATCTTCTTCTCAGGAGACCCCCAGGAGGGGTCAAGAGGTCCCCAAGAAGCTTGGCGACAGACCACCGGTCGACCAGTCGATGAGAGCGGAGAAGGAGGAATGGAGGAAGAGGCAGGAGGAAAAACAGAGAATGTAGACCTCATTATTCATGACATCCCTGTTGTCTCAAGGCGGTCGGTACTCGACCAGCTAGAACCTTGGCGCGCGCGAAGCGCGCGCGATCGTATTAGTATACTATATAGATGTACATATATATATATATATGTGTGTGTGTGTGTGCATATACCAGGAGGGGAAACACACAGACAATTAATCGTCGAGTCCCAGGAAAATCTGGGAAACTATGGGAAGTGGGGGGAAGACAAACACCCAGACAACACAGGAAACTATTGGGCATCTTTTTGTCTGTGTGTCTTGACTTGTGTGCCCTTGGGCCCCTTCAATATAGCTGTGGCCCGCAGGGAGAGGCCTGTCTCCATGGGCGCGGCCAGCTGGCACCTCTGCCGTCCAAGACATCGCCCGGGTGCTCCCCGTGGTGGCCCCACAGGCGCACGAAGCTGTACACCTTAGGCGATGCTTAAGAAAACTTCAGTTGTTGGCCAGAGTCTCGATTATTCTTAACGTTTCAATGTAAATCCTAAGATTTGAATGGAAATGATGGGTTTGTATTCAAGTTCTGAGACTATGAATTTCTTAACCCATGATTTCTTAAGCATTTCGCAGGGTGTACCGGGTGGCCCAAAAGAGGTCCAAACGGCGCCCCCAGGAGGGCCCCTAAGACGGCCCAGGAGGCTCCCAAGACGCCCCGAGAGCACTCCAGGCGAGTCTCCCGAAAGCCTGCCCGAGGCGATTTTGTGATACGATTCAGCCTGGCGGAGGACCCGACCGTTTCCAGATGTAAGTGCCGCAAGTGTCGGTATCGCGTTCGGTGGAGCTCCGTATGGGGCCACGAAGCACTGTAGTGGGCGGGGGAATCGCATGCGAACTGCGCCACTGGGACCTTCGGTGGAGCCGCCCCTGGGGCCACGAAGCGCTGTACTGGGTGGAGGGCGGGACGCATGCAGACTGCGGCAGTGGGACCTTCGGTGGAGCTCCCTGTGGGGCCACGAAGCGTTGTAGTGGGTGGGGGAGACGCATGCGAACTGCGCCAGTTGGATCGTCGGTGGAGCTCCCTGTGGGGCCACGAAACGCTGTACTGGGCGGGGGGAGGCAGGGATGGGAGGGGGGAAGGGGAGGAGTGAGAGGAGGAGCGGAGAGGAGAGGCGAGGCGCGGCGAGGCGAGGCGAGGAGAGGAGAGGAGAGGGGAGGGGAGGAGAGGAGGAACGCGGGGCGCTGTCTCTTCAAAGCGAGGACCCAGCACCACAGGATGGTTGGGACAAATGTGCTCTGGGAGGGTCCCTGTTTCGGCCCCCATGCCGCTCCAAGACTGCTGCCAACAAAACGTCCGGGAGGCGGCAGGAACGGCCCCAGACGCGCCCCCAGACGGCCCAGAACGCCCCCCAGAGGACCCCGCGGCGAGCTCCGAGGCGCCCGACGACGGCCCCACGGCGCTCGCAGGCGCTCGAAGGCGCCAAGACGGCCCAAAAGGGCCCCCCAGACGGCCCAAGAGCGCTCCAGTGAGAGCCCCCAAACAGCCCCAATCAGAGCGTGAATTACCTACCCCGCTTTCGCTTCCAGGCAAAACCAAGTCATACCACGCGCCTCCTCGTCAAGCGGCCTGACCAGTACAGGCCGAAGTTCTTGGTATCTCTTGGAAGCGAGGGTGGTCAGAAGCGAGGTAGGTTTGTTTGCCCCCTGCCCAAGAACGCTCCAGGAGAACGCTCCAGGCGAGCGCCTCAAGAGCGCTCCAGTGAGAGCCCCCGAACGGCCCCCAAGGCCTCCGTGTAGACGTCCCGAGAACGCTCCAGGAGAACCTCCGGGAAGGCCCCCGCAGACAGAAGCCACAGATCTTCGCCAGTGCTCTCCGAGGTTTGCCGGGATTGTCCCAAGCTTGCCGACGAGGATCCCGAAGAGAGCCCGCAGAGAGCTCGGCAGGCCACTGGAGCAGAGTCGGAGGCGCCCAGGACGGCCCAGAGCACGGGTGCAGAGGCGCCCGGCGGCGGTTCCAAACGGCGCTCGGGAGCGCCCAGGGTTTGAAGCTCGCTGAGGGGCAGCGAACGCGATCTGTGTTTCTGGGGCGACGGGGGAGAGGGCAATGCATTTGTAGGGCAAGAGCAAGCATGAGCAGCCCACTCGTCGGCAAGAGCAGACCTGAAATCAGAGCTTCTCGCGAAGGGCGGCTGGAAGGATTGCTGTTGACCGATCAAGCGCGCCCGCCGAGCGTACGGGGATCTGGCCCTGGAAACAACGCTGCCCCCCCCTCCCCCAGCGACCTTCAACCCAGGGTGGCCCAAGAGGCCCCCAAAGAGAGCCCCACTGGCGCTCCAGGAGGGCCCCAAGACGCCCCAGGAGGCTCCCCAATCGCCCCGAGGAGCAGCTCCCATCGGGCCTTCCGAGGCGCAGTCCGTGGAATTGAAATGGCATTTTTTGTTGTTCCCATGGTTTTCGGTTGGTCCTTGGTTCGGCCTGCCGACGCTACAGGACGGCCCCAGGAGCCCCCGTCACGCTCCAATGCTTCCGAAAAAGGATCCCGAAGAAAGCCCACAAACAGCCCAGAACGCCTCCAGACGGAGCGCCCGACGCCGGGTCAAACGGCGCTCGGAAACGTCCAGGGTAGCCCCAAGATGGCACAAGAGGCCCCCAAGTGCCCCAACAGCGTTCCAGGAGAGCCCCAAGACGGCCCAAGCAAGCGTGCACCAGAAGAAGCTCCGGGCGGGCCTTTCGAGGCGATTGCCGCGGAATTGTGATGGCTGTTTCAAATGTTCTCTGGGGGGCCCTTGGTTCGGCCCGACGGCGCTGCAGGACGGCCCCGAGGAGCCCCCTCCACGCTCCAAGGCTGCCGAAGGGGATTCCGAGGAGAGAGCCCGCAACTACTCCAGATTTCGTAATACAGGGAGGGGGGTCTCATTTCGGGGGGGGTCTCTTCCAGGCTATCTTGGAGGGCCTGGGGGGGGGGGTCTGGGGACGATGCTTTGGAGGGTTCTCCCACGGGGGGGGGTCTAAAACTTCTCGTCTGGGAGGGTTGGAGCCTACCGGTAGGCTCCCGAACAGCCCCCAAAGGTTCCCAAGGGTCTTCCGGTGCTCCCGCGAGGCCCCCAAGAAGCCCTACAGAGCCTCCAAACGGCCCCCAAGGCATATGTTTCTTCTGTTTGAAGCTTCGCTTAGGGATTCTCACTTCTCGTCTCTCGTAGCTCCCAGCTCTTCCTTCAGCTTCGCAGTAGCCGCCATAGTATCAGGCACGTGCACGTGAGGGCCACCCGGAAGGCACCGAGGGATCGGGCACCTGCTTGCAAACATCCCTGCGGAGTCGACTAGAGCGAAAGGCCATGTTGTTTTGACTAGCGCTGGCCTTAACATCGTGTTACTTCGAGGATGATCTGGCGACTTCGACGACGGCGGAAAAGATGGTGGTGTTGGCGGCGGTGACGTCGAGCACGATGATGATAACATGGCGGTGACTATGAATCGCGGTGCTGGCAATGGTGATCGTGAGGACGAGGATGATGATGCTGCTGATGATGACAATGAATAGCAGTGTGGTGGTGATGTTGCTGATGATGATGCATATGATGCTGATGACGATGAGGAGGATAATGCTGATGGTGTTGACGACGAGTTTGTTCATGATGATGATGATGATGATGATGATGATGATGATGATGATGATGATGATGATGCTGATGACGATGACGATCTACGATGGCGATGCTGCAGATGATGACGATGCTTATGCTTATGCTGATGGTGATATGATGATGCTGATGATGCTGCTGCTGACGACGGTGATGACTGTGATTATGCGGATGATGCAGGCGATGATTACGCGCTGATGCTGATGTTCATGACGATGTAATCGATGATGATGAGTTTGACGATGGTGATGATGCTGATGCTGCTGATGATGATGATGCTGATGCTGATGAGCATGGTGATGATGAGCATGATGCTGCTGCTGATGAGGATGATGACACTTATATGCTGCTGCTGAGGATGCTGACGGTGTTGATGATGATGATGATGATGATGATAAAGATGGTGGTGGTGGTGGTGATGATGATGCTGTTGCTGATGATGACGAAGCTGATGATGATGATGATGTGGATGAGGATGCGGAGGAAAATGATATGATATGATATGATGATGATGATGATGATGGTGGTGATGCTGATGCTGATGCTGATGCTGATGATGATGGTGGTGATGCTGTTGTTGTTGTTGTTGTTGTTGTTGTTGTTGTTTCTGCTGATGGTGGTGATCATGATTGTACCGCCGACGATGATGGATGACGTCGAGTACAACTGTGGTGGTGGTCGGGGTGACGGTGATGTCAACGGTGACGGTGACGGTGATCATCAATTTGGTAGTTGTGTTGGCATTCTTGTGGCGGTGTGGATGGTTTTCATGGCGGCGGTGATGCTGACGATGCGGACGATGGCCACGGCGGTGCTGATGGCTGTGATCTACGATTATAATGTTTCAGTCTACTTTAGCCCTGATCACCAACAAGAATTTCGAGCACCAGGAACCTACCGAAACTGGGTTTTTCTGGCGTGTCGGGCCCTGGGAGGCGACACTCGTTCGACACTGTTTCGATGCTTTTCTCGGTGCTCGAAATCATTTTTGGGATGTGGTCCTTAAGTACGATAGGAGCAACATACATCTGCGATGCGACCAGGTCAGCGACGAGGCCCGCAATCTGTTTGATTTCCTCTACGCCCTGGGCCTGAAGCTCTGCGAGTGGATCGACCAGGGCCTGTCCCCCGAGACGAAGCAGCGCCTGAAGAAGCAGGGCATGGACAGCCTCGTCGAGTGCGTCAGCAGGCCAGCGGGGCGCCGCCGCCTTCGTCGGGGGTGCAGTCGAGCCGTGGCCACGGTCAAGAGATGCGGGTCGAGAACACGAGCCCCCTCGCCGAAGGCACAAGGCACCAGGCATAGACCCACAGCGAACGCAGCTCCTCCTCCTCCTCCTCCTCTTCCTCCACCTCCTCCTCCCTCCTCCTCCTCCTCCCTCCTCCTCCCTCCTCCTCCCTCCTCCTCCTCCTCCTCCTCCCTCCTACTCCTCCTTCTCCTTCTCCTCCTCCTCCATTCCTCTCCCTTGTGCATAATTTCTCCCTGCCGCACCCCGGGGCCACTTTTTAGGGCGGGCGGGCCGGACGTTTCGCCTAGGACTTCTTCATCTGTTATAACCCCGCTGCAGATGATGATTATGCTGGGTGGTGGTTGTGGCGGCGACGGTGGCGATGTTGAAGATTCTACTGATGATGCTGCTATTGTTGATGATGCTGTTGTTGATAATGGTGATGATGCTGCTGATGATGATGATGGTGGTGCTGAGATGATGATGCTGATGAAACTGATGATGCTGCTGATGATGATGATGATGATGATGATGATGATGATGATGATGATGATGATGACGATCATGATTATTGTGGTGGTTGTGGTGGTGGTGGTGGTGGTGAGGAGGTGGATGGGGATAAGGAGTAGTAGGGTGAGGAGGAACACCAGGCTGAGCAGGGGGAGGAGGAGGAGGAGGAGGAGGAGGAGGAGGAGAAGGAGGAGGAGGAGGAGGAGGAGGAAGGTGAACGACTCTGATTGATGCTCCCCAGTTGTGTGGAGGAGGGGGAGGAGGGAGAGGAGGAGGAGGAGGAGGAGGAGGAGGAGGAGGAGGAGGAGGAGGAGGGGGAGGAGGGGGAGCTGGAGGAACTCGCCCCTCCTCCTGTCTGAGGAGCGACACGCTGCTTCGCATCCTCCACTACCCCACGTACGACGACGATAAGGCCTGCCGTGCGCCTTCTGCACCTGCGTGGGGGGCCTCGAGGGGTTGAGGGACGAGGGCGCCGACTGTCCCAGAGCTCCTGCCCCCCTGCGTCTGCTCCTTGAAAGTGGGGCATCAGAGTCGTCCACCTTCCTGCTTCTCGTCCTCTCCTCCTGCTCCTTCTCCCCCTTTCCTGAGATGTGGAGACGTTGCATGTTTTTTTGTTCACACCGTTCGTTTTCGCCCAGCTCGAGGGGCCAGGGCCATCACAGATCGATGCAGCTTGAACATGCGGCAGACATGTGGGGTTTGGGGCCTCAGTCGTGCTTTTTCCCGCGTTGCTGCAACTTGTTTCGCGACCTGAGAACTCAGGGGTGGCCAGGTCGAGAAGGCGAGGAGTCGGAAACGGGGACGGGAGGGAGGGAGGGAGCGAGGGGGAAGGGAGGGCGACACGGAAGGCAGGGAGGTGCACCAGAGAGCAATACATGCGCAGGAATAGGAGGACAGAGAAGGGGAGAAGGGAGGAAGTTATGATGGAGGGAGGAGGGAACGCGTGCAGACTCTGTCACATTAGTGGGGGGAGGAGGAGGAGGAGGAGGAGGAGGAGGAGGAGGAGGAGGAGAAGGAGGAGGAGAGGAGGAGAAGGAGGAGGAGGAGAGGACAGAGGAGGCTCCGTAGCCATGCTGACTCAAGTCCGTAGCGTTTCGTTCAGGGTCATGGCTGGCTGGCGAGGGGGAATTCGCGGCCCCAGCCGCGTTCCTAGTTTGTCCAGGAACTTCTCATTTCTCGCACTCATGCATTTGCTTTTCCGCGCACTGTATCCCCCCCCTTCTCTCACTGTACTTTGTCGATGGTTCATCATGGCTTCGCTTGTTCTCCTTGGGTTCTGATGGGGATGATGGCGGGGGCGAGTGGTCGATGTACGGCTTGGGGGAAGAAAGGGAATCTCTCTGTCATCCCATGTGCGACATGCGGGTGCACGAACAATTTGGTCAACTACAAGTGGTGCAAACATTGCCACAGTTCTCTCATCCATTGCCTCGGCGAGGGCTCCGAGAGGCCAAGAAGGACGACAGACCTCCGTCTCGAATTTTTCGAGACGCCAGATGTCTGGGTTCCTAACTCTGAGCGTCCACCACCCTCTGGCGTCTGGGCTCCATCGACGTTGGTCCCTGCTTGGCCTGCCCTTGCCGCTGTACGCCTTGTACTCCCTGAGACGGGGTCGGCGTTCCCGCCTCCTGGCTGCTGCTCCACATGCTTCGGCCAGCACGGAAGCTGCAAGGGCTCTTGGCAGGGCAAGGGTACATCTCGGACCGAAGCATAAGATCGAAGTCGGTTCGGTGAGGGTACCATCGTGTTCTTCGTGTTTGTTGGATGTTCTTGTGCTCCCTGGGGGTGGGGGGTACCCTTGGATGTTCTGTGCGTTTTGGCCAGCGGAGGGTCTCATGTTCTTGAGGGATGTTCTTCTGGCCTAGGTCCGACTGTACGGAGTTTGATGTAGAGCTTGCTCAAATGGTGACGGCTCGCCCATGCCTGCAGGTCTCACTCCGATCAGAGTTGTCGAGGAAGCTCGCCAGCCTGCCACTCTGTGCGGGAAGGCTGGTGACACGCGCAATGCCAAGCGCTACCATGACAGCACTTGGAGCCCCAGTCGGTGCCGAAGGATGTGGATGTACTTCCGGCCGTTCAGTCTCACAAGGCTGTTGTTCGGCGTCCCGCTTGCAACTTTGAGAGTGAACTTGAGGGGCCGCAGAAGCTTAAGCAGGATAGTTCAGTGCACTCGTACAGAACTCGAGGAGGCCGATCTCGAGTACAAGGATTCCGTTCGCAAGCTCAGCGAGGTTTTTTGCGTTCGTGACGCTCCAGTGGTGAAGGCGTCTCTTTCTCTCAAGTTGACGGACCTGCTGTCGGGAACCACTGACTTCGCGAGCATCATCAAGAACGGTGTGCTGGTGGACACCAGCACGGACGAGGCTACGAATGAGGACTTGGGTGAACTCGACAGGAGGTCGTCTGCGCTCTCTGAGTGCATCGGAGTTGTCAAAAAAGGAATTGTCACCGGGCTCGACCTAAACTGTTTTTTGGCCGCGATTTTGTGGACCGTTTTCGCTTTGATTCCGTTGTGCTGCAGATGTGGATCGGGGAGCCGCTCGAGGGAGCACGAAAGCAACACGCACAACGAAAACCACTGTTTTGGTGGAGCACTGGTGCGCCAGCGTGGTGGAGCAGGCGAATGCTGCCACGCAGAGCCCCCCCCAACAGGAGCAAGACCCCGTCGGGGCCCATGCTGCGTGATCTGGAACCTCCGCCGCGGGGAGCCTCCGCCCAAGCCTCTCATGCCTGCCCCAAACAACGACTGCGATCTTGAGCCCTCACGGTTCGAGCAGGGGCCCGACGCGGCGTCGGGGGATGGAGATCCGGGCCGCGCGGCCCGCCGCTCGGGCACCAGGCCGAACGCACAGCTGCCGCCGAGCGTTGGCCTCGCGCGAAGAGCTGCAGCCGCTCGGAGTCGCCGTCGGTAGCGACGCCGCCTGGCGGGGCCTCACGTTCGCGACGCACAAGAAAACCTGCAGTCGAAAACGCGCGCCGCCCACTCACATCGACGTAGCACTTGAGCGCGCGGAGTCGTGCCGACAGCGACGCGGCGGGCCAGAGGCTCAGGCCCTTATCCTCCCCCCCCCAGGCGCGGGCGCAAGATTCGGCAACCTCACGGGCTTCTTGCCGCGGCCCCCCTCTGACCCCAGTCCGACGCGCGCGACGTTGGCCGAATCGCCCTTCGCGGAAGTAGCCCAACGGCGGTCGCCAGGAAACCAACCCTCGCGGCCCGATCCAGGCCGCCAGCCAGAACAGCCCCCCGGGCCCGCTCGGCCAGATCGAGGGCCTCGCTCCAAATCGGCAGGGCAAGGAGAAACACCGCCGCGGGCAAGTCAAGAGGCCGACAGAAGGCGGGAGCTTTCGGCGAGGTCATTGCCCCACGGAGCTCGCGGGCCACTGGCCGACGGGGGGGCAGCCCGCGTTTAGACGCGAATTCAATTTTCTTTTAGGCAGAGAGACAGATTATTGGAAACCAGAGTCGAAATGGCCAGGGCGGTCCGCGCTGGAAAATGGGTGCGACCATCCGAGGGCCCGGCAACGCCCCATAACAGTTCCCAGGAATTGGCATCGGCCAAAGCCCCAGGGCAAACATGCAGTGAACCCCCAGCCAACATGAAGTCGCAACGACATGTATCTGGAAACAAGCCAATCGACCTGAGGGCGACACTACTTGAATCCGAGAGTCTTTGGGGATGTCGCAAATAGAACGAGGCCGAGCCGACGGATGCGCCAGCGCCATGGCCGCCGCCGCCCTGCCGTCTGCAAGCACAAACTCGTCTGGACACCGATGCAAACCAAGCCCACGCACGGGCAAAAGCCGCGACTCCAGAGCTGATGCAACCACCGACTACCTCGACACCCAGACCCCATGGAGAATTCCTGCGAAGGCCCTTGGACTTCTTGGAAGCTCATGTTCGTGCGCGGGGATGATGTGGACCGAAGGCGATTCCAGAAGCCGACGCAGCGCGCTGCATGGATTGAAAATGATCAGAACTACCCCCAGCTCAAAATCACCGACCGTCGGTCCTCAATATTTCTTATCCCACACCCTTCCCACCCTAGTCAGATTCCACTCCAATGGACCACGTTCCGCATGCAAAAACCACGCCCCCGAGAGGGAATTTTGCACGCCAACGCACACCCCAGGCTGTTTGGATATAGTATGCTATATCTTGGGGCAGAATCACGCTAGATTGCCTAGCGGTTGCTGGAAGCGTTTCTGAGGTGATGGGGGCAAAGATGGACCTGTCGAGGCCGCAGAGCATCTTGTCCAAACCGTGCACGGGGGCCGACGTCGAGCGTTCCTTCGGGGAGACCGCGGCGATTCCGGCGTCGGGCCCCGAGGAGTTGGTGGCCCCGGGGGAAATCAAACAAAAACATTGAAAAGTCGAGTGCCCGAAGCCCTAGCCCGAGAGACAGTCGAAGATGGCCTCGAAACCAAATATTCAAAGACCGTGAACCAGTTACTGCCCGCGCCAGGGCCAGCCATAATTATGCTGGGTAAAAGCCCCTACCCGAAAGAATGAGACCGGGGCAGGGGGGCCAGGCGCCGGACGGCAGAACTTCATCGGCCCTGGCACGGGCGTCCGAAGCATGCGCGCCTCTAGCGAGCGCGGCTGCCGTGGCTGGCTCAGACGGTTTGGCCCCGGGAGCCGCCCTTGCACCATCAGGGGCCGGCGCGTGGACTCAGGTCGGGCATGTCCTCCTACTGGCGGATTGCGGGTTAAATACGAAAACAGCTCAGGCATAATACATCATCGAGACAATCAAAAGAGCACGACCAATCGCCGCCAGACTATGTGTTACTCTTCTGGGAGATTCCTCCTGTAGGAAGACATGCGCGACTTCGCCGTCGACTCCAGTGGCCGCGCGGGCGCCGTCTGCCGCGGCTGCTGCCTCCCGTGGACCGCCTCCAAGAGAGACTTGTCTTTGATGTCAGCGCCGCGGCGCCGCGTTGCCAGCTATGCGAGCAAGGCGGGTTCGAGGGGCGGCTGTGGCAGCATTCGCCTGCGCGCCGCCATGCTGGCAAACAACGTCTTTGACAACTCCTATGCTGTCAGAGAGCGCGAGACCTGTCCGTCAGCGGAATGGAAGGATTGGCTCCGCCGTGGCTGGGGTCGGGGGGGGCGCGCCCGCTGCGCCGTTTCGGAGCCCCGAGGCAGGGTCGCCGACGATCGCTCTGTCCGCGAGTGGCGCCAGGCCGTCTTCGTTGCGGACCCCGCGGCCTTCTTGCGGGCCGATCGGGCATGTTCGCGTCTGTTTGGGGCCCTGGGGGCGGCGCCGGTCCTTGCAAATCGGGTTTTCGTGCGCCCCCCCTTCCGCCCCCGCTTGCTTGCCTCGCGAGACTCGATCGTTTTCGAGGAGATGTCGTATTTCCAGCCATGTGAGCATCGATGGCATCGTGCCCGGCCATCCTGCGGCGTCGGG